CTTTATCCAAGTTATTATATGTTAAAGTATGTCACTAAATAAACCTTGGAATCTGCAGTTGGAATCCCTGGTGGATAACATAAAATTTGATCATGGATATACTGCTAAAAGTCCGGTGATCATGAATGTAAGCTCATTCATTCTCATATGCTACATCTCTTACATACATCCAATTGTGGTCTTTGAGAAATGCGGTTCCTTGATTCTTGCTCTTGTTTGTAGCTACTCGAAATTTTGTCAGAATTCACCCCTGAGCAGCAGCATGCATTCTGCCAGTTTGTAACTGGTGCTCCTCGGCTTCCACCTGGTGGATTGGCAGCCCTTAATCCCAAGCTTACTATAGTTAGGAAGGTACTTTTTCATGGTGTATCTATCATGGCATTTGCTATTATAACATGTGCCTACCTATTCTACTTGATGTTATTTTTGGGGTAACTTGGTGTTACTTTTGATTATTGCCAGCACCCTTCAAGTGCTGTTAATACTTCAAATTCAACTGGGGCAACAGAGTCTGCTGATGATGATTTGCCTAGTGTGATGACGTGCGCCAATTATCTGAAGCTGCCCCCGTACTCCACAAAAGTATGGTGTCCTTGCTGTTTTTTTCTCTCTAAAATGTCAGTTGACATTCTGATGGTTCCTGCTTATGGGCTATTGCTATTGTTTGGACAGGAAATCATGCGCAAGAAGTTGCTTTATGCGATCCTGGAAGGCCGAGGATCGTTTGATCTTTCATAAGAAATATATAATATCCGAACTAACATACAGGGGTCAATTTTATGCTGGAGTTAGTTTCTTGGTTGGTCCATATAACAAAGGTTGAGGTTACCAGCCGCGCAGCAAACGGCTTCAAGGGCGAGAGCCCAGTCCTCACTCGGATGCAGGTGCTGCTGTCAATTTCTCCTTTCTTTTACATTTGTTCAGCTATATATTCTCCTTGTCACCTACGATTACGAATTTACAGCTTTTGTCATTGAGGAAGTTTAACACGTTTTGGTTTGTCTACGATCTGTTTCCATTGGGCAGGCTAGGCCATATAGCCCCTTGAGTGAGTGAGGATATGTGCCAACAAGAACCAAAAGGGAGCCCTTTCTTTCAGTACATGTAAATAAAAGGGAATTTTTGTTCCAGAATCCAGAATTGGTGATGTGATCATGTTGATCCAGAATTGTTATCTGTAACAAGAACATGTACATGTGTGATGACTGACTGTTAATAAATGTGGCCCAGTGTACTGTTAATAAATGTGGCCCAGTGTACCATTTTTTGTTTCTTTGAGCACTGGCAGTACCATGTTCTCCGATACAGAAACGCTACAACAGAATGATGTGGTTACCACGATCCCACCCAATTCCTCCACTACTGATGCCATTTCACCAGAGAACGAGGATATTATGTTCAGTTGATTGAAAGAAAAGATACTTTAAACGGAAAGGAGGCAAATGCTGCCATTCGAGGTGATTGGCCCCCAAAACAAGGGGAAAAACATGTGGAAAACTTTGATGCGATAGCAACAAAATCAGCCTGGTTTGCAGCCCAAAACGCTTGCTGCTCATCATCTCAGACCCTGAGCGTCCGAACGCGTTATCTCTGATACCCCTTCTCTCAGGAAGGAAAGCATGTTCCATGTCTGGTGCAGCTGTAAACCAAATTACATGTGTAGTGAAAATATATATGGTAAATAATTTGGCGAGTTTGTCAAATTGAACTTACATACAAGGATATGCCGGAATTGAGCAGGTGCATTCCTGCAGGGTTGGAGTCTTGGATAGAGGGGAAAGGAAGCGGGACAATGGACAAACATGAATAAAGTGAGAGAGACTGGGTCCTAGATATTTGATTCTTTATATTTTAAAGCAACTCTAGGAATTTCCAAAATGAACTCCCTATTTAGATATTTTTGCAAAAAGAGAAAAAATATCTTTCCAATAGTTTGGTAAAGTAACTCCTTAAAAAGTATAAGAACTTGATCTTTTCTCCAACTCGTAAGTTTCCGCAGTCGATAGAAACTCCATATGCACTCCCCACCATCGAACGTTTTTCTCGATAGATCAGAGTAAATTAGACATGTGAGTAATAAATTAAGAAAATGAAGAGTTCATGTGAGAAAACAGTAAGAGTTGGGTTCCCAATGTAAAACCGTTATATAGGAAGCAAATATAGGCATGTGAATTAAACTGAGGTTGCTACCTATTTTGTTAACTTGCTAAATTTATTGATTTAGCAAGTTAATTATAGGAAACACCATTAATTTATGTGGTAGTTCTTGTAAGTATTAAACTTTGTCTTTGTCCATGCAAATGCCTATTTTACTTGCTGATTATGTTATTATTATGTACGCACACTGGAATGAATTAACTAATGAATACAGTGACTACTAAAAGACAAATGCAAATACATATGTTACTTGCTTATGTTATTATTATGTACATACACACTTGAATGAATTAACCAATGTATACAGTGACTACTAAAAAACAACGGTATACCTTGTATGCTATATTAGTTCTTCGAAAAAAAAAAGTGTTTGCAGATTTTTAGCCGTAAATAGAAAAATAAAGTGAAAAAATCAGGAGAACAGAAATTGTTTGTCTTAATAATAATAATAATAATAATAATAATAATAATAATAATAATAATAATAATAATAATCATCGAAATATAGTTGATAAGTAAATGTTGTTACGGAGGAATCCTACACCGATAAAATATAGTAGAATAAGTATTCTAGTTAATAATAAAATAGAGTCAGTTGGAAGGGCTACCATACCTCGGACGGTTCCTGGGCTTTATAAGCAAGGAGAGGCCAGAGGCAAAAAAAAAAAAAAAAAAAGTCAGCGCGTCCCGTCGACTTGTTTTCCTCATCACAATCAATCCGCCGCGCGCCGCAGCTAGCTAGGGTTTCGTCGCATCAGCCGATTTAGCCCCTCGTCGATCCATCATCGATGGCGTCCGAGGGCGACAACAAGAAGATGATCACCCTCAGGAGCTCCGACAACGAGGAGTTCGAGGTGGAGGAGGCGGTGGCGATGGAGTCGCAGACCATCCGCCACATGATCGAGGACGACTGCGCCGACAACGGCATCCCGCTCCCCAACGTCAACTCGAAGATCCTCTCTAAGGTCATCGAGTACTGCAACAAGCACGTCCACGCCGCCGCCAAGCCCGTTGACGGCGCGGACGCCGCCGCCGGGGGCGGCGAGGACCTCAAGAACTGGGACGCGGAGTTCGTCAAGGTGGACCAGGCTACGCTCTTCGACCTCATCCTGGTCGGTAACCCCCTTGCTTCCTCCTGTTTCCCCTTCTCTCTCCCCCCGATTTGGTTAATTTAAATTTATGTTTCTAGATCTATACTACTGCCTTGTCTAGGGTTCAGATTAGATTATAGATTAGTAAGATTGATTGGTTGGTTATCCAAAACTTAGATTGATGATTGATTGGTTATCCAGTAGATGGATTGATTGTGTGGTGCTGGATGTATAACTAATACCCGTGCAGCCGTGCCCTGATTCTCTGTAACCAAATCAATTTTTATGTCATAACATGATAGATATTGTGTTGTGGTGCTCCAAATAACTAATACCCTTCTAGTGTGAGAACTATCGCCGCTGTGCCCTGCTTCTCTGGAATCATTTTTTTTTGTGTGTGGTAGAATAGTTTATTGATATCATGCTGTTGCTATTTGAGTAATAACTCTTTACGCTTACACCGGTAGCAAGCTGTGTGGTTATATCCAAATCACCAACAATGTGATCTTTAACTCTGATGTAACTGTGCAATTTAAGCAATGCTATCTGCACATAACAGATTTGGACAATGGTTTGGATGCGGCAACACACATAGATTTACCTTACCCTTTGGGCAGAGATAATTCTTGTCATATATGAATGTAGCTGTACATAAAATTGTTTGATTGACATGGTTGGATGTGGTAACATCGGATGAGTCAGCAATTGATTGATGAAAGTTGCATAGTTTGTTTTCATTGTTGTATATAACGCCTTATCCTGTGTGTGCTTGCTGACACATTGTGTGCATGAGCTACCTTTTCAGGCTGCCAACTATCTGAACATCAAGGGATTGCTGGACCTGACCTGCCAGACGGTAGCTGACATGATCAAGGGCAAGACTCCGGAGGAGATCCGCAAGACGTTCAACATCAAGAACGACTTCACCCAAGAGGAGGAGGATGAGATCCGCAGGGAGAACCAGTGGGCCTTCGAGTGATGGTCTTCCGTGGTGCAGGGAGAACCAGTGGGCCTTCGAGTGATGGTCTTCCGTGGTGGTGGTGCGGTGCTGCTTACAAGGAAGATGGATGTCTGCACGCGCTCTACAATGCTATTAGTGCTTACTACTTACTAAATATATGGTTGTAATGGTTGTAAGCCTTTTGGAGGCGGGTTATGGTTTGGATTGGATGGAGGTCAAACTGAGTGCTAGTTCGTTTGTCTGGAGTTATTATTAGTCAATATATTAATTAATTAAGTACTACATATCTCAGCAATCAATTGGGTCTAACGATGATTTGCCTCAATTGCTGGTATCTTGATGAGTTGTCTTCTTGTGCTATATGTGTTGGTTCATGTCATGCTTCAGTGATGCTGTCTGTATGCGGTGCTTAATTGCATATTTATTTACATTGGATGTTTAAGTGTATATTTACAGTCGATGCATAAGTAAGACTGGATTAGTTGTTTCTGCTGTTGTGCCAACGGCCTAATTCTTGTGGTTGTCAAGAAGATAAGGGAAATGTTAAGGTAGGAGTCGGATTGATGGATGACCACTTGTCTGTTATCCACCAACCAAGACCCTCCGTCGGTCCTTCCTTTTCCTCTCTTCCTCTGGCAGACAATTGGAAATACCGGCGCCTCACCTCAGGTCCTGTATCAGATAAGGCAGAGAGAGAGGTCATCATAAGCAGCACAGGAGAAGCACGCTAGTATATTGTTTGAAAAGCCCCTCTTTGTTTCCTTCCCTCCCTTTCGGCAGCAGGGGCAGCCATGGCGAAGCCCATCCCCATCGAGGTGTGGAACCCCAGCGGCAAGTACCGCGTGGTGAGCACCAAGTCCATGCCGGGCACGCGATGGATCCGCCTGCTCACCGACAACGACTGCCGCCTTGAGGTTCTGTTCTTGTCTGTCCATTTCCATTGCTCTGCTGCAATTCTGCATCCACCGAGCAGGCTCTGTTTGCCTTCCCCGTTGGCAGGTATGCACCGAGCAGAAGACCATCCTCTCCGTGGACGACATCCTGGCGCTCATCGGCGATCGCTGCGACGGTGTGATTGGACAGCTCACCGAGGACTGGGGGGACGTTCTCTTCTCTGCGCTCAAGCGCGCCGGAGGCACGGCCTTCAGCAACATGGCCGTCGGCTACAACAACGTCGATGTGGTGGCTGCCAACAGGAACGGCATCGCCGTCGGCAACACGCCTGTGAGTCTCTCTTGTCTCTGTTGCTGCTTCTGTTTGTTGTTGTTGCAGTTGAATTGAAACCAAAACCAAAACCACAACCCCAACCATGCACAGGGCGTTCTGACGGAGACGACGGCTGAGCTCGCTGCCTCCCTCACGCTGTCGGCAGCCAGGAGGATCGTCGAGGCCGACCAGTTCATGAGGGCTGGCCTCTACGACGGATGGCTCCCACACCTGTCAGTCATTCCTCTGCTTCCTCAGCCTATGTGGCGTGTGATCGTGTCATGCATATCCTCCTGCAATGCAACAATAACAATGCTTAGCTTGGCCTGTATGTATGTAATGCTGCAGGTTCGTTGGCAACCTGCTCAAGGGGCAGACTGTTGGAGTCATTGGAGCTGGTCGCATTGGCTCCGCCTATGCACGCATGATGGTACGCTACTCCTATATTGGAATTGGATTTGGAATTGCCTGATTCAGGCAAGCTAAGTACTCCCTCCTCTGCCATTGGTACCAGATTGAGGGCTTCAAGATGAACCTCATCTACTACGACCTGTATCAGGCCACACGCCTTGAGAAGTTTGTCACAGGCAAGCTACTGACTGATAGCTATATATATACAAATGTCACTGCATATATATTGGCACAGATACTAATCTGCTTGCTTTGTGCTTGTGCATTGCATTCCTCCAGCATATGGGCAGTTCCTGAAAGCAAACGGTGAGGAGCCTGTCACCTGGGAGAGGGCTGCCACCATGGAGGATGTCCTCAGGGAGGCTGATGTGGTCAGATTCATCATCCTACAGTACAGTATTTATTATTATATATATATTGACATAATCTCCACTGGAATTCACACAAAAGAACAACTGAATTGTACAATCAATTAATCTGACTATAATGGCTTCACTCATCATTTTAATTCGTTTGTTGACTTTGCTTGTTTCATTTGGCTTGCGCGGCAGATAAGTCTGCATCCGGTGCTGGACAAGACCACTTACCATCTGATAAACCCTGAGAGGCTGGCCATCATGAAGAAGGATGCTGTTCTTGTGAACGCAAGCCGAGGGCCCGTGATCGATGAGGTCGCCCTGGTGGAGCACCTCAAGGCTAACCCCATGTTCCGTGTCGGGCTCGACGTCTTTGAGGCACCTACTCCATAAAATAGAACAGAATGTTGCGGATGAGCAATTCAGCATTAGCTTGATTATTAAGCTAGCAGCTGATCCATATATGCTCCATCACATCAGAACTGAATTGGATACTGCTCATGCAATGTTTTCTACTTACTCAACAGGATGAGCCTTACATGAAACCTGGACTGGCTGACATGAAGAACGCCGTCGTTGTGCCGCACATTGCATCAGCCTCCAAGGTACTACTTCTTTTGGCAATCAAGTTGCATTGTGGTGTCTGATTGAGTCTTTAATAAATTTGATTTGGTTCGAGGTTCTCTACTATAAAATAATAGCGCCCGACTGATGAGATAGAGACCAATCTTGCTTGTCTGTTTTTCTTCAGTGGACACGTGAGGGAATGGCAACACTGACTGCTCTCAACGTTCTTGTACGTAATAAGCCTGTCACTACTGCACTCTGCATTAGACATGCTACTATATAAATACAGTACTGTGATGTGAATTATTATTGTTACTGATCCATGGAGAGAATTGGCAACTGGCCGCAGGGTAAGATCAAGGGGTACCCTGTGTGGGGAAACCCCAATCAGGTGGAGCCCTTCTTGGACGAGAATTCGACGCCACCGCGTGCTTGCCCAAGCATCGTTAATGCCAAGCAGCTTGGTTGGTGACCCTCCCATCTACTTTACCGGCCGGCCGGCAAATCAATGAACAACATCTCTTGCTATACTGCTATGCATGTGTCATGTGTGTGTGTGTGTGTGTGTGTCATCCAGCTAGCCATTACATGCATCTTTTGACGATCTTGTCTTGTCCAAATAACAACATGTTTCCTCGACGGCTAGAAACATATGCATATGGCTGCTGAGGGCTCAGCTTCTCGTCGTTATATTATTACATTTACATTACATTACATGCATTTGTTTTGTTTGTCAGTAATAATAGTTGCCAACTTTATTTGACCACGTATGTTGCAGGCCTGCCATCGGCAAAGCTTTAGGAGCCAACGTTGACGTGCTATATATGTTGCTGCCTGGCTTGGCTAGTATCTATACAAGTGAAGACGTGTCGTCGTCTCCAGCAGCACATACACTCCATGCATATGGATTGACATGCATCTGCAGAGCAGCTAGGTGATCTGAGGTGCTCCGAAGTCCGAACTACAGAGCTAGCATGGATGTACTGTGCAGTCAGGCCTCAAACTGAATTACATATATAGATAGAGGCAGCCTGGGTTCCGGTATAACAATAAAAACAATGCAAGCACATGCATACGGCTGTATATATATTATTATATATGCGGCTTAATTTTGATCCATATATGCATCTGGAACCAGCTAGCGTACGCCGTTGCATCATAAAAATACATATACGCCGTTGCATGTTAACCAATGCTATGTTATATAAGGATCTATCGGATCCCTCCTTATATATCAATATGTACATGTGTGTGTGCGCGCAATGAATAGCATATTTGGCATGGTACAACATATATATGCGTACAGTCGTATTACTGTGTATGCTATAGTAGGTTGCTGTGCAGGCCACCAGTAGGGTACAATCTTCGGCGCGCACAATCCTATCCTATCTGAGCCCGTCATTGCATGCACTTCGGACAGCCTTCCGTAGCATCATAAAGAGCACCTCCCTTTCGAGGTACCCAAATGGAACGGTCTTTATTTGTGTTGTTGGTTGGTCTTTGATCTCAACGTGGTCTATAGCACGAAAAACCATTTTTTACAAGATAGGGCCGTTCACATGAAAGAAAAGCTAAATAAAGAGCACCTCCCTTTCGAGGTACCCAAATTAAATGGAACGGTCTTTATTTGTGTTGTTGGTTGGTCTTTCTCAACGTGGTCTATAGCACGAAAAACCATTCTTTACAAGATAGGGCCGTTCACATGAAAGAAAAGCTAAAATCCATTCTTCATGGTCGGGCGCATTTCTCCAAATCCTCCAGGATCACAAGTAGAACGGGGAGGCTGCGAGCTCCGCGTCGAACAGAAAGAAGCAAGCAGGGGGTGTTGCCGTAGCGCGCCCCGGAGAGCAAGCGTAGGCAACCAAACAAAAAAAGGCTACAAAAGTAGCTAGCTAGCGTTTTTAAGCTGGCTGCCTTTTCTAGCGCGCGTACTCTTCTGTGGAGTCGCACGGAACGAGATTCTTGACAAGTTGAAGAAGAAAGCTGCTGTCTCCCTTGCTATCTACCCCCTCCGTCCAGAACGTGTCCAGAATTGCGTTTTTTTCCTGGAGGGATCGAGTGTATTTGCATCATAAAAATACATATACTCCATATAGGCAGTACTAGATAGATAATTAATTAATGACACTGAGGTACAATATATATATTATAATTCAATCGATCGAGATCTAGAAGAAGAGGAGGATTAGGTGGCAAGCAAATGTAAATACAGCTGCAGTAACAAAGATGCATGCAAGCATCATATTGCATCCAGAAGAAGAAGATTCATGCATCGATATGATCATCAAATGAAATAATCGATCAAATGATGAGGAGCTAGCTAGAGTGCTAGACGAGGATGAGCTCGACGTAGTTGTCGAAGACGTAGTCGGCGAGGACCTTGTACGCCTTCTCCGTGGGGTGGTAGCTGTCCCAGAAGAGGTAGTCGCCGACGTCTTGGCACACGGCGGAGGTGACGCCGTTGCAGAGGACGGAGACCTCGAGGAGCCCCGTGCCGCAGCATCCCCTGGTGGACTCCGTGAAGCCGTAGCTGCGCGGGTGCATCATCATGTCGTACAGGAAGCCGTAGATGTCCATGAACACGAGCAGCGTGCCGGGGTACTTTGCCCTCAGCGCCGCCAGCTGCTGCACCATCCCGGCGTTGTAGGCGACGGCGACCTCGTTGTGGCCCTGCGAGCACCCGCGGTCGATCCCGCCAGACATGGTGCGCTGCGACGGGACGCAGCCGATGGGCGGGATGCCGATGAAGGCGACGCGGCGCGCGCCGGCGCGGATGAGGTCCTCCACGAAGCCCGTGGCGTGCTGCACCAGGAGCTGCGCGTACGAGGCGTGGTCGTAGTTGCTCCGCGCGCGCAGCGTGAAGTAGGTGTTGGCCACGTCATCGCTGCCGGCGCAGATGGCGAAGATGCCCCGGGACAGGATCTCCGAGGCCCTGGCGTCCCCGGCGGCGTCGCGCACCTTGGCCAGGTAGTCGTGGAACATGGTCAGCTGGTCGGGGAGCGAGATGACGGAGGCCAGCTGCGGCGTGAGCGGGTCGAACCCCGTGCCGCCGGAGGCGAAGCTGACGCCCGTGACGAGGTCGTGCTTCTCCAGCGGCTGTGGGGAGAGGTAGGGCGGCAGGAGGTCCTTGATGCCGAGGCGGGAGGCGATGAAGTCGGTGGGTATCCTGCCGTTGCAGAACCTCCCCGTGGGTCGGTGGTTCTGCAAGTCGTTGCCGTAGGGCGGGAAGTTGGCCTTGATGATGGTGTGGATGTCGTTGTTGTTACCCGGGTCCACGATGGAGTCGCCGAACACGATCAGGGCAGGCGCCAGCGGCTTCGGCTTCTGGTGCTTGTGCTTGCCATTGCCTACCGATCTCGTGGCGTTGCCACCTGCGGCTGATGCAGTGGCACTACTAGTGCTAAGAGGGCCGCCGAACAAGATCATCAGCACCACCACCAACAAGACGCTCATCTTCTTCATCATCACGACGGGGCCGGGGCGCCACATTTCTTCTTCCCTTTGCACTGGTTGCTCGCCGGCCGGTCGATCGATGTATAACGGACCAACTCACACTCGCCTAGCTATATGCCTATATATTATATATGATATGATAGATAGATGGTCGTCTATGAAGACTGGAACCACTGGAGAAGGAAGTGAAGTGAAGTGAAGTGAAGCAGCAGCTTGCTGCAGCTGTGGACCGACCGACTGGATCGATATGTTATTGGGGGAAGAAGAAGAATGCCGCATATATGGCTAGCTGGTAGCTGCCTGAGCAGAGCAGAGCTGCTGCTCCATATATAGTGGTTCGGCAGCCAGTGCATGTTCGTATGCCGAAATTTTTTGCAAAATGATACTGTAGTATTTTCGTCGTTATTTGATAATTAGTGTTCAATTATAGTCTAATTAGACTTAAAAGATTCGTCTCGTGGATTTCGTCTAAACTGTGTAATTAGTTTTATTTTTTATTTATACTTAATCTTGAAAATTTTGCTATTTTGGAGGAGAACTAAACAGGCCTACTCCCTCCATCATACAAGAACGTAACTATGGGATGTGTGACTTAAGTTTTGATCAAGTTTATGGTAAATAGTATTAATATTTATGTTGGTGTTTTGAGTAAACACCAATTAATAAATTTGTATTTGTTGCGCGTTGGGTCCGGATGGTGTGCTAAAAGACACAAGGTTTATACTGGTTCGGGCAGAATGTCCCTACGTCCAGTTTGCTGCTGCTGCTCGTGTTATTATCACTGAAAGGTTTATAGTATGGGATACAAACGGTTGAGAGAGGAACATGTCCCAAGTCTCAGATGGAAAGATCGAACGAGTACTGAGAGCCTCGATGCTGCTCAGTTATGTGTGAAGTGGTGCGTGATGTGTGTGGAAATGAATCTGTCCCTTTAGTGGGGTGCCCTGCCCTCCCTTTTATAGATCAACGGGGAGTAGGGATTACAGATGGGAGAAAGAAGAAAAATCAGAGGGAAAGAAGGTCCTTTTCCTTTGAGCCTGTCCCGCTAACACGGCAGACGGTGCCAGGGATAGTACGTTTGGTGATCCTGATAGGGTCGTGCTCTGGCTTCGTTCAGCAAGTGGTCACATTCCATCCCGCCCCGGTGGGCGACGCGACGCACCAGGGTGCCGAGTCGCGACCCTATGGGGAGTAGACGGCGTAGAGGCCCCACGTTCGTTACTTTAGATGACATGAGTTTCCTTCTAGACCGTAGTGGTTATCGTATGTTTCCGTTAGGATTCGTGTCCGAGGACAAATGCCGGTGCCTATAACACTGTAAGATAAATGTTGGCGCCCGCAACACTGTTTGGTCTCTGACATGCCGGAAGGGCTTAAAACGTCCGTCTGGTCATATCCTGATGGTACTTTCCTACAGGCGTGCAGGGTATGGTCCTCGGTATTGTGGTTGACTTGAGTGTCCCGCCTTATCTGTGCGCGTAGTTATGGCGAGGCGGAGCCTGTCCCCAGACGTCGGGCGAGGTGGAGTCCAGCCCTCGGGGGTCGGGCGAGGCGAGCCCGCCCTCGACGTCGTCAGGCGAGGCGGAGTCCAGCCCTCGAGGGTCGGGTGAGGCGGAGCCCGCCCTTGGACGTCGGGCGAGGCGGAGTCAGCCCTCGGACATAGAGCGAAGCGGAGCTTGCCTCCAGACATCGGGCGAGGCGGAACCATCCCTCAGTCGTCGGGCGAGGCGGAGCCTGCCCCTAGACGTCGGGCGAGGCGGAGTCCAGCCCTCGGGGGTCGGGTGAGGCGGAGCCCGCCCTTGGACGTCGGGCGAGGCGGAGTCAGCCCTCGGACATAGGGCGAAGCGGAGCTTGCCCCCAGACATCGGGCGAGGCGGAACCAGCCCTCAGTCGTCGGGCGAGGCGGAGCCTGCCCCCAGACGTCGGGCGAGGCGGAGTCCAGCCCTCGGGGGGTCGGGCGAGGCGGAGCCAACCCTCGAACGTCGGGCGAGGCGGAGTCCAGCCCTCAGGGGTCGGGCGAGGCAGAGCCAGCCTTCGGTCGTTGGGCAAGAAGTGCAGTTACGTTCTTGTCTGTTCGGAAGCATCAACGTTTGATGGTTATTAGCTCCTCCTCTTTGGGTACCCTAGTCTTAGGTCCCCGACAATTTATGTCTCCAAATAAATTTATTATAAAAATACATTCTATGACTAATTTAATGATACTTATTTTGCATCAGGATTGTTAGTATTTTTTTATATAAAGCAAGAATTGCGGTTTTTTTTTTTACGGAGGGAGTTTGTACGTGTGCCCTGCAACTGGAGAAGCAGCAAGGGCGGCTAGGTTCGTGTTGATGAGAGAGCGAATTTGTCGGTGGGGACGGTGGATTTGATTTATGGTGCTCCGTCGATCGTAAATATAAATGCGAGCTTCCGTCCCTGCTCGGCTGCTTCAATTCAATTCAATTTATGGCATGTTTAGTTGTCAAAAAATTTTACACAGTATTCATCACATCAAATTTTACGGTACATGTATGGAGTACTAAATATAGACGAAAAAAAACTAATTGCATAGTTAGACGAGAAATCGCGAGACGAAACTTTCAAACCTAATTAATCCATAATTAGATACTAATTGTTAAATATAAACGAAAGTATTACGATAGTCAAAAACCTAATTTTTTTTTATCTAAACGCACAGTCAATCAACTCGGCTGGCTGGCTGGCTGGCTGCTGGACTTTATTGGCGTTGCGCTGCTCGATCTCTAGTGGACTGACTCGATCCACCGCGCATGGAACCATGATGAAGCCATGGAGCCACGGACGCCCCGCCGGCCCGGCCGTGCCGCCGCCGGACTTATGCATTATTGCCCACTCCCGCATTCCTCGTTCGGCTTACCTTAAAGCTGACGTGTTCGTTTTTTTTTTTCAATCGGAATAGTGTTTTTCTCTCACACTAATTCAGCTGATACAATATTTTTCAGTTAGTTTCAATCAAGTTTCAGCAAGCAAACATGTACCACTCCATGCGATCTTCGAATATGACTAGTACTTTTAGAATTTTTTCTTTTTTATATATAGACATATATAGATAATTAAAGGCCAGAGGAAAACAATCGTGGTACAGTGTCCCTCAACCAATCACTAATAAGATTATTATAATAACAATTGCCTTCACATTTACATTTTTGTTCAGGCGCCACAGATAGCGGGCACTAATTAAATATAAATAAACTAAGGACTCTTTGGGCACAACCTTCTTAAAGCGTGTAACACTTTCGTTTTTATTTGGTAATTAGTGTTCAATCATGGACTAATTAGGATCAAAACGTTCGTCTCGCGATTTCCAACCAAACTGTGCAATTAGTTTTTTTCGTCTACATTTAATGCTCCATGCACGTATCGTAAGATTCGATGTAATGGCTACTGTAGCTCTTTTTGAGAAGTTGGTTTTGGAACTAAACATAGCCTGACCTTGTTTAGTTCAAAAAGGTGTTGCTAGCACTTCTCCTTCCCTGATGGTGGTATATTGTGGGTGAAAATCCTTCTTACGGTGGGCTGGCGTTGTTTCCATCCTAAAGGTGTTGCTAGGCATTCCGGCTCCATTGTTACACACTTGATGTCAGGGTTGCCACATCTCTTCCTTCTTTTTTGTTTGCTTTGGTGCAGGTTTTCATTTGTTTATTGTCTAGGTTGCTCCCTATATTAGTTGTCGCTACACGTTTTCATGGGTGGAGTTGTTTCGTCCCTGTTTGCAAGGTGTGGTTGTCATCCTGGCGAGTGGTTTATCTCGATGAACACTAGTTGTCTAGAGGGCTTGTCGGGTTTCCCCTGTAAAAAACCTGGATAGGTGTGTTCTGAAAGCGTGGACCGTTGTTGTGAGGTCGCTGACCAAAGTTGTGTCGTACTTGACGATCGATAAACTAGAGTTGTGTTGTAGTTGGTGGTCTGTGAACCGGAGTTGCGCCGGTTCGGCGTGTGTGCGCTCCCTAGTTGTGTGGTCCTCGGATGGTGTGCGGCTGTTTGAACCCCTAGTCGTACGGTTTTTGAGACTCACTTTTATTTATAAACTAGGTCAACTGCCTTTTGTATTAATATGTGTATGGCAAGGGCAGTCCCAATGATGTATTGATGATAGTTTCTATCATTATTAAATGACTTGTTACGTAGGTAAAACGCTGACATGGCAACGTAATTAATGAAGAAAGAGAGCAAAAATCCTAGAAATGGTTTTCTCATAAAGAAATCAAGTATTCTATTGACCCAATGCACTAAGAAACCATAAAATCGTCATTGGAGAAACCACCAGTTTCTAGGAGACTCGTGCCGCACTTCCATTGGAGGAAGAAGATAGAGTTAGGAGAGAGAAAGAAAAAATAATTATTATTTATAGAAACCATGGATTAAAAAGCATTACTTTTTTTATATAGTATCCTATGTTATAGAAACTACTGAATTTTTTTATTGGGACTGTCCTAAAGTCAAAGTCTCGCTGTCTGTTATTTTGAGTGAGAAAAAGGTCTTGAATGCTAAAAATGCTCACGGTTATGGACGGAGGGAGCATATATAGGCCGCGTCTATATGCCAAATTTTTTTTGTTTTTGTACCGTAGTCCGTTTGTTTGTATTTGACAATTAGTGTCTAATTATGGACTAATTAGGTTCAAAAGTTTCGTCTCGCGATTTCTCACCCAACTGTGTAATTAGTTTTTTTTCGTCTACATTTAGTACCCCATACATGTGCCTGAGATTCGATGTGATGGGTACTGCACAAACTTTTGGAATCTAAACAGGCCTATAATGGACATGTTCTGCGGCACTACTTCAGCCATATTTTTCAGCGAACGAACGGTATTTTTCTCTCGTAACAAATTAGTATATAGAAATAGATTGGAGTATATTTGTGTGTACTGTACACCTGAGCATATAGGAGTAGATCGATCGTGGATGTTCTCACGATTGGTGTAGCTTAGCTCTCACCATATACAGTAGGTATCACATGGCCGAGTAAATGCAATGCCTGCTGCTGCCATGGGATGGCCCATGAACACACACACATGA